ATAATCCTTTCGACCGCCAGAGATGAGACGATCGACAAGATGTCTATCAAAATCTAAAATGGGGCTATATATGGAGAAGTTGGGTGGCTTAGGAATCAGATCATTAAGTAGTCAGTTCTTGGACAGTGTGAGAGTTCGTGTATTCATGGAGTTCGTGAAGAGCGAAAATGGCAAGAATCTTCTTGTTCTTGAGGGCTATCTGCTCACACAGAACAAGATGAGCAAGGACGGACGAAGAACGTATTGGGAGTGCCTCTATAGAAGATACAAAGGAAACTGCAATTTCAGAGCTACAACTGAAGGAGAGCAGGTTGTCAGCAGGCGAGGGCAACATCATCATGCTCCAGAACCTGGAAAATTACAAGTCCGCAAGGTGATCACAAACATCATGAATGATGCCAAGACCACGCAACAGAAGACAGGTTAGTGCAATAACATAGTGCATGTGTATTATTATTTCATTTCCCTTCCTGAACATATTATCCTGCCTTTTCAAAGGAATCAATCACGCAGTGTCGAGGTTACAAGTGTATAACCATTTAATCATTTTTATAAAGAAAAATTCATAATTCAATGTCTCTTTCACAAATGCTTCCGTATCGATACGCCAGAGCGCGTATGGGATTAATATGAAGATAAAATATTTTAAATTTATGTTGTACATTTCGAGTATGCTTTCATATTACTTACCAGGATCCGTTTATTGGAGGGATTGCATATGAAACTTTGGTTTTATCATACGACTAGAAGCCTTGAAGCAAGCCGATGGCAAAAACTGATTGCGAAAACACCATCTCTGCAGCGCCACAACGCTTCTTATTGTGGGACAGCCAAGATCCCGACCGGATACTCCTGTTTTCAACGACTGAGAATTTGCGACTCTTATCCGCATGCCAAGATTGGTACATGGATGGCACTTTCAAGATAACTCCAAGGCAATACATGCAGATGTACAGCATCCACGGGCGTTTTCATGGAGAAATCATCCCACTTGTATACACTCTTCTACCAGGGAAAGATGAGCGACTGTACACCAGGATGCTGGAGCACCGTTTTCAGCATGGAATTGCTGCACCCCAGAGTGTAACAACTGATTTCAAGAAGGCTGCTCAGAATGCCCTGGAGCGCGTGTTTCCGGGTGTGCAGTTGCACTGTTGTCATTTCCATCTCGCGCAAAGCGTATGGAGAAAGATTCAAGATTCTTGTCTGAAGCCACGTTATGAAAATGATCCTGAATTTCGCCTGCAAATGAAGTCCCTTCCTGCACTCAGCTTTGTGCCACCAGCAAAGGTGGAAGATNCGTTATGAAAATGATCCTGAATTTCGCCTGCAAATGAAGTCCCTTCCTGCACTCAGCTTTGTGCCACCAGCAAAGGTGGAAGATGCATTCAACGACCTTGTAGCCACCATGCCAAACGCAGCACTGCCTGTACTGAGCTACTTTGAAGATGATCACCTCCCCCAGTCGTAGCTCGGCGCCTGGGCCCCTCCGGTCCCTGGGCCCCTCCGGCCCGTGAGCCCAGGTGCGGCGGCATCGCTTGCACACTCGATAACTATGCCACTGTACAGGGTATCTGTTACGTAACTCCTTATTTGGAATCATGAATGCCGTCTGTCATACTTGCATCAGGAAAATAGTCTTTATCTCATGCTACAGAGTATTCGATGCCATTTCATCTGCAGTACGGTAGCACTTTAACAACTTGGTTTCACATCTCAACATGAGATAACTTTTAAGAATGGCGACTCGAGACACTCTCATTGCTGCACGGATTTGTCTGGGCTTCGAGAGAAAATTTCTCGGATAGCAATGATTTTCTCTTCGGTGAAAGATGTCGATGGTCAACCTGCTTTTGGAAGATTCGCTACCGACACTGCTGCCATTTCCTTTCGCCCGCCGTTTTTGATGGCAGCGAGAGGAGCACGTTTTCCGTGCTGCTGTCGCCGCCAGCTTTGAAGAGGCACGACGGATTTCCTTACCGACTCGTCTTTAAGGCCATGTCAGCTTTGCTTTATTAGAGCGAGTTCAGGAGCCATGATGACCACGTCACCTATTTAAGACTATTTATCATCTCGGCCTAACCTGTAACAAGTACATGAGAAAAAAATAAAATGAATTATGGAGTTACTAAACAGACACCCTGCATCTATGAAATATATTTCATGTATAGATAGCATATAATAGAGATGGCGCTAATGCTTACACGCTTAGCACATGATCCTAATGTCGAAACTTCATCATGCCATCGGATGACCTCTACGTTCGAAATACTGCATATTCCAACTGAATGAGATCTCAGGGGCATGCGGCAGACGTGTCGGATCCGACAGAATGTCTATCTCTGGGTCCAGAGAAATTAGAGAAGTAGCCGCTCGATCGTGTGGCTCTCGCAGATGGCGAAATTCCGCCATGCTGTGACGGGACGAGACGTCCCCCACTCGATCAAAATACTTCATTTCGGCAGATCGGATCCGCATTCCTATTCTTTCAGTCGTCACGGACGTTCGACTCCGAATGCACTAAGGCCTAACTGGAATTCAACGTCAGCAAGACACAGAATCTCTAGAGAAACTCTGGGGGGGGGGGGGGGGGGGGGGGGGGGGGGAGGGGGGTAGGCGGGAAGAAATACATTCTTAAAGTTCAAGAGTTTTGCAGCCTGAAAATGTTTAGATTCGGTAGCCACGGTCCGCCAGAGCTCCTGCAGAACTGCAAAAGCCCGGGGGGGAATGCGATTCCACCTCCTTTCCATACCGCCCATCGCTCCGGAGCCAGATACCGAGGTACTTACATTTCGGCTGTTGCAGTGGGGCCCCTCCCAGTTTAAAATCCCGGCTGGAAACAGCTATAATTTCCAGCTGGACTCCAGCTGTAAATTCGGACCCATTTCAACTGGGTAACAGCTGGAAAGTAGTCATCTCCAGATTTGTTCCTAATTGCTATATCACTGACTGAATGAGAATCTTTTTGTTAACTATTTTTGTCGGAGGTCCATCTACAGGAACTGCTGAGTTTTAACTGTAAATTTAGCTACATTCCAATTGTAGGGTCCTCCTTATAAAATTCAAACTGAAAAATTTCCAGCTGGAAACAGCTATTAAAACCAGCTGCATTCCAGTTGGAAAATTCCAGCTAAGAAACAACTGGTACCTACTATTTTCCAGCTCTTTGCCAGCTGGAAATGATCCGAATTTACGGATTTGGTGCTAAGAAACAACTGGTACCTACTATTTTCCAGCTCTTTGCCAGCTGGAAATGGTCCGAATTTACAGATTTAGTCCAGCTGGAATATTCCAGTTGGGATTTTAAACTGGGCTCTGGCATGTACAGAGGGTATAACAGGGTTTCACAGAGTTATACGGAGTTTCTCTAGAGATTCTGTGTCTTGCTGACGTTGAATTCCAGTTAGGCCTTAGTGCATTCGGAGTCGAACTGATCTAGCACCCACAAGTTCCTGTCGATACTGGGTCAAAAGGACGGCATCTTCGGTAAAGAAAAGGATCTTTACCTCGATACCACCCATGTTGAACCCTCGAGGCCCAGGCTACGCCTTCAGATCCTGTCCACGTAAAATATACGAGCGTTGTACACGAGGGGGAACAGGAAAGTACGGAACATTGGTGGAGTCCTCGTACCGCTAAAAAGTATTTCGCTCGAACGCACTCGTACGCCAGCTTTAAGGCCGATGCACACTGACTGCAAAGTGTTGCGACAAAGCCGCACTGCGACAGTCTGCGAAGTTCGCAGTCATTTCTTGACTGCGACCGTCTGCGAAGCGTCATCCACACTGGTCGCAGGGCTCCCAAGCCAAATCAACCAGGTGTGCACAATTTGAGAGCTCGTGCTGCAACACTCTTGTTTTTTTGTAGGTACAGTAGGTAGGTACGTCCTGCACGCAAATCCCGTCATCAGATGGGAGAATTCGAGGCCCTAAACTCTTAGAAAAGAGAGCGTCACTGCGACCGTCTGCGAAGGTCCCACGCATCTCCAATGCGACCGATTGCAACGGACTGCGACGGTCGCAGTGGTCGCAACGCAGCTCTTCGCAGTCAGTGTGCATGGCCCTTTACTCTCCACAGCCACCATCATTACACGAGGTAGTACGCAGTTTCGAAAGTCACACGTGGAGTCCTCGAGCCCCACGAGGGATGACACAACGATTACAGAGGGAAGAGCCTCCTCCCTCCTACACTCACGCAAGAGGCAACAGCCCACTTTCCCTTTCTGCGTCCTCGTCCAGCTGTCACCGAGAAGTAGCGTAAGGCGACGGAAGGCCGGTGCCTGTGGAGACGTGTCCGAGCTAGCACGCGAGTCGGAGAGAACCGTGCGTGCTACCGAGGACCGCCGCCGGTGACCGTGGTTCCCTACCGGAGACCTGCGACGGACAACCCTTAGGTTCTCGATCAGCGTGAGGCTCTTCTCTATTACTAACCCCTTTCCCTCATCTTTGTTGTGTTATATAATAAATTGATCACAGTGTTGAACTACGCACCTTTTATATCAACCCGAAGTTTAGTTATTCAAAGGAGTCAACCTCTTTGGAATCATCCCGGTAACGGACAGACGGGGGCACTTCTTCCGAACTTCGAGGACTCTCTTACGAACCTCTCCGAACTACGCAACCTTTCTGATTACTGTCCGGCTATCCAAGCACCTCGGATCCGGCCACGCTGTAGCCACCCCAGGCTACACACAAAGCACGGAGAAACTTATTTGGCGTTCTCCTATGAATTTTTGGAGAAAAGCTCTTTCTTTGGCTATTGGCGGTAAATTTAATTGAAATTCTCATGAAACAACCAAGAGATGCTGCATGTGAGAACTGTTAACATCCTGCTAATACCTTGTATGCAGATCCGTCCACAGCCATAGCAATTTTACAACTTAAAAACAGAGACAGTGGGTGAGGAATACAGAAATCTCCGAAAGCCCTTTTGCTCTTTCATATTCTGGAGACAAATTTAAATTTTCGGTGCTGACACATCCAACTGAGAGCCTCAAGAAAGACGCTTGCATAGAATATATATATTTCTGTGTCTCTTGAAGTGAAGCACAAGGGAAGTGAACTCTGAGCACTGAAGTAAGGAGGGCAGTCTCTGTCATCACCATAAAACATGAGGAAATACAGAAGATAAAAGAAGGAATGAGGGCATATGCATATGAAGGTACAATAAGATATCACAAGGGGGGAGAGACAGGAGTGGACAGCCTCTGTTCAATCGACTCCTCCAAATCCTTCTGCTCCCTCAATGGCCTTCAATAGCTTCTCCCTCAGTTCATGATAGCTTTTGTATGGAGGCAGGTCCAGTCGGTTGAAGCTAGATGGCAAGGATGATTCCCCAACGATGAGAAAAGGAAAAAACTTAACAGAGCAAATGAAAATGTAAGGGACAAACCAGGTGTGAGCTCTTGGAAGCTGAGACGGTTGTCCCCATTGCTCAATGGTGAACAACTGGGGTCCATTACTCCCATACAGCTCCTTGAATCCATTCATTGGAACGTGGGATGTTCCAGTCACAAACTGCAGAAGCCGGGCTCTCAGCTCATTCGAAAAACTGAGCACGGCCTGTTTCAGGAAGAAATAGGGTTTCATTAAAGGACCAACAAGACAAGGAATCAAAAGAAATCTCCAACTTATGACGAAAAAAAACTTGGGGAAATTATGCTAACTTGTCAGAACAAAAACATAATACAAGAAAGCATGAACCAGATGAGAGGCAATACCAACCCGCCAAAACCACTGAATCACAATGTGATTGGGATGATATTCTCCCTTGTAATTGGAATTAGTCTTCCAGTCCTTAATGTCAATCTCCTGCAAACCCGAAAGAAGGAGTTCCAGCTCATGCTCATCGAAGATCTTGATGGCATTCAGTGGGACCAGGTCGTTGAACCCCTTCAGAAATGCATTCATCTGCTCCTGGATCCTTTTCTCAAATCTCCACTTTATAACCAGCCTGTGTTAAACAAAGTGATAATATCATCCATCAAGCAGACGTGGCCATGAAAGAAAATGAAGATGAGTATTTCATCTTGTTACAACAGCAGATATTTACAATATATATGTAAAAAAATACGCATCTAACTTCACTTTGTATTATATAGACCATGGACATTATTCTGCAGACAATTCAAAAGAAAGTGAAAATTAAATGAAAAATTGCAAAAGGAGCATATTGAATTATTTGCAAGTCCATTTTTTTTGCTTATCATCAATCTTTTAGTTTATACAATAAATAGCTATCAATTATGAGTTTATCAATATAAAGTGAGTCCACCATTCACAGAGATAATCAAGAATTAAAGGGGCTAACTGGATGTATTCTTCCTTGTTCTCATTCGTGACTGGAATGGAGGCACCATCTGGCTTCAACTCATGCTGAGCTGTTTCACCAAAGCATGTCTCTTCATCCACACAGAAGGTAAGGCATAGACCTGCAGGGTCATTCTCCTTGATCCATCTACAGAAACCAACATGGTATCATACTGTATATATGACAAAAACCTCAAAGATTGACTAAGACATGAAAACTGTACAACAAAGTGCCTTTTTCCCAAATCATTTAAGCACATAATTAAAATGCATTGGATTTGAGATGCAAAGAAATGATCTTGACAAGGTGGGGATCCCTTCCCTCCTCTGATGCAATGGAAAGGAGCAAGGAACAAGCAGGGAGATGAACAGGGAAGGAAATAGAATATCTCAAGGGATACAGGGGTGCAGGACAGAGGATGGTGATGAATGGGAAGGCACCATTATTACAAAATTTCTGTCTAGAGTCTTTTCTAGCACACACTTGAGGGAGTTTGAGTATTCAGGGTCAACACTCTCCATGTCATATAACTCAATGGGTTTCCCAAGCATCATCTTGTAGAAGGGTCGAATGAAGAAGCCATCAAGGAGTTTCCCATGGAACACAGCCATCCCTGCCACCCGCCCAATGAATTGGAAGTAATGGAGATGATCTTCGTTGCACACCCCAGAATATGGATTGATCTGGAGAGTGTAGTTGTCACTATAAGTTAATGAAACAAGGCTGTGATAGATCCCCATCAAAATGAAAATAATAAAATTAAAGGGTTTTTCTCTCACATGGCAGAATATTCAAAAAGGCCATAATAGGGATTGAACATTTCTTTGGAGAGAAGGAAGAACCATTCACGTGAGCCACCTCCATAATCCAGGAGCGTTTCACCATCAAACTCCACCCACAATTTGGCCTTGAGCAACTCCACTCTGGATACCCCCATGATGGCACGATAGGCATCCTCAAAAATGCTTGCCCGACGAACCTTCATCTCAAACTTGCTTGGAATGTTGTTCTGGCAGAAAGAGCATTGAAAATGCAATGAACATGACCTTCAGTCACTTGCTCTTGAGCCTTTCTCCAGTGCATAACAACATAACTCTTTCTTTGTGCTCTTCAAGTCAAAGAATCCATAGCAATGCAAAGCACAAAGGCTTACTACATATTCATCAAAAGCTGTCGGTAATGATGCACTCAATCTCCTACATGATCTCATCCTGGAATTTAACTTTTTATTAAATGCAAAGCAATAGGTTTTGAACTTAGAGTACACAAGGATAGACTCCACTTCTAGTAACTTATTATCAATTATAATTCAAAAAGAGATAAACTCACAGGTTTTTTTAATTGCCCTCGGAGGTACTCATATTTAAGTTTGTAGTCACGGGAATAAGGCACAGCCTGGTGAAATGGAATAAAAAAGCATATTGAGCAGGATTGATGAAAGAGGGTACAAATGGCAATATAGAAAGACAGAGAGAGGCACTGACCTTGCCACCGCTCCTTGTGTTAAAACGAGGGTCTTCCCACTGAGTAATTCTGGTATCTATCCAGGCAACAGAGAATTACATATAGATATAAAAATGACATGAAGGCTTCACAAACCATGTTTTATGGTTTTATGCTTTCTGCATAGAGATGAAAAATAGAAATTATTATTTCTTCAAATATGGGTTATTATCATTGTGTCTCAAAAAAAAGTATGCCACTTTTTTTAAAATGATATCTTCATTCAATATCATACAAGACTCATGCATTATTGCACATGGCATTTCAGGTGAATAAGAAAGATTCCTACCAAATGTAAAATAAGTTCACCCATTGCTTCAAATGCTTTAATTTTTCAAAGCTGAAGTACTGAAAATAACAGTAAACAACCAATCTGCTCAATGCTCCTTGCCAGACATCCTTTCCACATGCTCCAATATCACTGAGCATAGGCAGCTGGCAGTCCCAGTGAGGAAACTGGCTTTTGATACTTATCACCTTGTGTTATCAAAGTTAACTTGTGATCAGGTCGTGTTTTTAATATTTGATCACCATAATTTCCAATGCAGCTAGGGCAAAACTCCCCATTGTTATGTGACGTCATGAATGACAGTATAAAGAATTATGAAGAACATCATGGGATTCAGGGAAGCAGACAGACACTTGAGCATTAAGGAATTCCATGAAAAACACTGGCAATATCATGTCGCTAAAAAAAGTGCTGAAACTATAATGACTAAAACAAAGTGGAAGGGGCAGGTCACACTCAACTGTGTGAAAATATCAAAGCTATGGAAGAATCAGATCTCAGTCAAGAAGAGGAACAGAGCTTGGGTTTGTGCTGAAGGTGAACATTTTGAGTATGAGCTTTAAGTTTTTAAGGTTGGCTGGCATAAATTTGACAGAAATTTTAATTTTTCATCTGAGTTGTCGAGTGCAAAAGCCATAAGACTTGTAAGGTTTTTGGTAGGAGATATTTTTTTACCCAAATAAACTACCAGCCTCAAATAATAATAATGACGATTCAAAGGAATTGTAATTATGTATAATAAAAGTTATTTATTGAAACCGATTCCAATACCAAGACTGCCTTTCTTTCATATTCACCTGAAATGTCATGTGCAAAAACTCATGAGTTTTGCATAATAACAGATGAAGATATTCCAAAAAATAAAGTGGCATACTTTTTCTTGAGACAGTGTATATCCCTTTTGTGCATGAATTTTGCTATTTTTGGTTTAATGTTTAAGATGGTACTCTGCCATAGTAGTTGAATGCTCCACCATTAGGAGATAACTTGGAATAGATTATGTGCCATGGAGTGGAGTGTATGCACCAAAAGTTTCAAAGCATGTGTACCATAGCTGAAAAACCAACATCAGAAACAAAATCACAGCTGTCCACTGAAGTGGAAATTATGCATGAGAGGGATATAGAATATACATAGGCAATTGTAACTGGCTGACTGAGTGACTTTGTGACTGACACTAATGCTCTCCATGTTCTATGAGGGGCATTTGAAAAGTTTTTTCCCTGAGATGCTTTAAGTTGTGATACACCATATTTTTTTCGTAGAAAGACAGATGTCTTTGATGATGAATGGAAAATTTTCAACTTATTTGTCTATGATGGAAAGCTTCTATGAATTCTTTTCAATGTGCTACCAAGGAGTCTGTTGAAGGGGTATTAAAATTGAAAAAAATGCTGTTATGAATTTTCTAACCTTGAAGGAATCATTTTCCTTCTTGGATCTTGCAGAGTAGGGTCAATCGAGTAGGGTCGAGGGGAGGTCCAAAAGTTCGGCTAAAATCATGTTTCTAGTGATCCTAAGTGGATGAAATTTTTTTTGTATTCCTTAATTATTCATCCCTTTGTAAATAAATTTTTATCCCCACAGAAGGTCATGGAGACGAGAGGCGGCGCAAAAACTGGCGGTGGTCAGCACGCAGAAGTGAAATTCTCAAAAGAGCAAAAACGGATGATCATGCTCAACCAATTTCATTGTAGTTCTTGGAACTATTGGTACCTTCGAAACCACTTGTGGATATTCTGGAGACCTGGGGCTTCACCACCAAGATGAGTTTTGAGGTCTTTAAAGCACTGTTTCACTGAGAAACCACAAAAGGTGAAGGACAAAAAAAAAGGGGTGGAGGCAGCGCTGTTGCTTGTCTTTTACATCCACGCAGACAGGCGCACGCATGGCAGGCGGCAGCGAAGTGGCAGTGCCGCACATAGAGCCTTATTTTTTTTATTGAAATAGACTGCAAGGAAGGTCTCCTATTGAGAACGTGGCTATGCAGTACATCGTTTCCAGTACGTAGTTTGATTTATGTGAAAAAGCCTAAATATTAAGAGAGAAAGATGTTGCTAGTCACCAGGGGCACCAGTGCCCTTGCCTCCTCTCTGAATATTCCATGCATTGGTGTCTTAGTCAAGTGAAAAATTGTCTAACTGAAGTGAAAAACACTGTAATACCCCTTCAACAGACACCTTGGTAGCACATTGAAAAAAATTCAAAGAAGCTTTCCATTATAGACAAATAAGTTGAAAATTTTCCATTCATCATCAAAGACATCTGTCTTTCTATGAAAAAAATATGAATGGTGCATGACAACTTAAAGTGCCTCAGGGAAAAACATTTTGAATGCCCCTCATATATAGGGTAGAAACCTTAAACTTCAAGCATACAAAAGTAGCTATTGAGTTGCTGAGTTCAGAAAAATATTACTTATGAGGCTCATCCCTTCTAGGCCCAACTTTTTGGTGGGGCATTTCTTCCAAAGACATTTTTGTTCCAGCAAAATGGACAAATATAAAAAACTTGAGTTTGGTAAGCCTGTGGTCCTTTGGGTACTGATTTCAGGAAATATTAAATGATCTCCATGGCTTCCTCATAGGCCAAAACCAGAAACCACATATTTCTCACCACCAAAAAAGATGTCAAACTTTCTGGCTTGACTGGAAGAATCCCTGCTTCCTTAACAGGAACCCCCCAGTAACTAGAGATTGACTGATATAAATTGGCTGATATGGGCATATCAGTGAGTATTCACATCAGCTCTTTCAAACCTTCTGATTTTTGCCAATATCAGAAGTAGAGTTCTGTTCAATGATACAGAAAAAAATTACTTGGACTACCTTTACTGCACCCATATGAAACCCTAAGATGTGTGATATAGCCAGTATGGCATCATCTGAGAGGCAAGGAATCATGGGTCTTTTGCTCTGGTTGTGTTCCTGGTCTGGCACATAGAGGAAGACTTTGCTCCAAGACTTAGGTTTGGCCTATGCTTTGCAGCCTAACTTCCTTGTGAGTTCATCAAGGTGAATTTGAAATAAAATCAAGCTGTCCTGCTTAATCTTCAATATTATTTTGTTCATGATGAAATATCAACCAATATTGGAATTGGTGAAATCAGTAAAATCCAATATTGGTCTATCTCTACTGGCCAGAACAACTGGCAACCCTGATCAGTCTCCACATGTGAGGCATGTAACGAGGGTAGGAAGCTATAACTGCTCCATCCCCTGGCTATAAAAGCATATAATTTTTCTACAGTAACTGATGCATTAAATTTACAGTTTCATTGGTCTCAGGAATAAAAAATAAAAATGAGAAAAGAAGTTTCAGCAGCACTAAATAGGAATGTTCATGAGGTCAAACCATGGTGAACATTTTCCATTTATGTCAACCTAGAACAGTTACCCTTTTTATCCATGAATTCATATCTTTGAGACCAAGTGAATATCGGGATATTGTAAACTCAGGCAAGAGCTGCCATGTACAGGGTGGGGCAGGTAAATTGGGAAAAACTATAATGGAAATTAAAAAGACATGTGTTGCAAGCAAAAATCAATATATTGAAATGAAAATTGGCACAGAAGCAGTTCAAATGATACAGTTTCGAAT